CATTTACATTTAAGGTAATTATCGATATGTATGTTCCTATTCCCATTTTCTTAATTGTTTTGGGTTCCTTATTGTAGGTCTTTTCCTTCTCTTGTGTTTCTTGCCTAGAGAAGTTCCTTTAGCAGTTGTTGTAGAGTTGGTTTGGTGGTGCTGAACTCTCTCAGCTTTTGCTTGTTTGTAAAGGTTTTAATTTCTCCATCAAATCTGAATGAGATCCTTGCTGGGTAGAGTAATCTTGGTTGCAGGTTTTTCTCCTTCATCACTTTCAATATGTCCTGCCACTCCCTTCTGGCTTGCAGAAATTCTGCTGAAAATTCAGCCGTTAACCTTATGGGGATTTCCTTGTATGTTATTTGTTGTTTTTCTCTTGCTGCTTTTAATATGTTTTCTTTGTATTTAATTTTTGACAGTTTGATTAGTATGTGTCTTGGCATATTTCTCTTTGGATTTATCCTGTATGGGACTCTCTGTGCTTCCTGGACTTGATTATCTATTTCCTCTCCCATAGTAGGGAAGTTTTCAACTATAATCTCTTCAAATATTTTCTCAGTCCCTTTCTTTTTCTCTTCTTGTTCTGGAACCCCTATAATTCGAATGTTGGTGCATTTAATGTTGTCCCAGAGGTCTCTGAGACTGTCCTCCGTTCTTTTCATTATTTTTTTTCTTTATTCTGCTCTGCATTAGTTATTTCCACTATTTTATCTTCCAGGTCACTTATCTTCTTCTGCCTCATTTATTCTGCTATTGATCCCATCTAGAGTATTTTTCATTTCATTTATTGTGTTGTTCATCATTGTCTGTTTCATCTTTATTTCTTCTAGGTCCTTGTTAACTGCTTCTTGCATTTTGTCCATTCTATTTCCAAGATTTTGGATCATCTTTACTATCATTATTCTGAACTCTTTTTCAGGTAGACTGCCTATTTCCTCTTCATTTGTTAGGTCTGGTGGGTTTTTATCTTGCTCCTTCATCTGCTGTGTGTTTTTCTGTCTTCTCATTTTGCTTATCTTACTGTGATTGGGTTCACCTTTTTGCAGGCTGCAAGTTCGTAGCTCCCGTTGTTTTTGATGTCTGTCTCCAGTGGCTAAGGTTGGTTCAGTGGGTTGTGTAGGCTTCCTGGTGGAGGGGACTAGTGCCTGTGTTCTGGTGGATGAGGCTGGATCTTGTCTTTCTGGTGGGCAGGTCCATGTCTGGTGGTGTGTTTTGGGGTGTCTGTGGACTTATTATGATTTTAGGCAGCCTCTCTGCTAATGGGTGGGGTTGTGTTCCTGTCTTGCTAGTTGTTTGGCATAGGGTGTCCAGCACTGTAGCTTGCTGGTCGTTGAGTGAAGCTGGGTGCTGGTGTTGAGATGGAGATCTCTGGGAGATTTTCACCGTTTGATATTATGTGGAGCTGGGAGGTCTCTTGTGGACCAGTGTCCTGAAGTTGGCTCTCCCACCTCAGAGGCACAGCACTAACTCCTGGCTGCAGCACCAAGAGCCTTTCATCCACATGGCTCAGAAGAAAAGGGAGAAAGAGTAGAAAGAAAGAATTAGTAGAAGTAGAAAGAAAGAAAGGAGGGAGGGAGGGAGGGAGCAAGGAAGGAAGGAGGGAAGGAAGGAAAAAAAAGAAAGAAAGAAGATAAAGTAAAATAAAATAAAGTAAGATATAATAAAGTTATTAAAATAAAAAAAAATTATTAAGAGGAAAAAACCCCAAAAAAATGGATGGATAGAACCATGGAACAAATGGTGGAAGTAACGCTATACAGACAAAATCTCACACAGAAGCATACACATACACACTCACAAAAAGAGGAAAAGAGGAAAAAATCATAAATCTTGCTCTCAAAGTCCACCTCCTCAATTTGGGATGATTCGTTGTCTGAAGGAGGGAAGGACGGAAAGAAAAACGAAGATAAAGTAAAATAAAATAAGGTTATTAAAATAAGTAATTATTAAGAAAAAAATTCAAAAAAAAAAAGACGGTTAGAACCCTTGGACAAATGGTGGATGCAAAGCTATACAGACAAAATCTCACACAGAAGCATACACATACACACAAAAAAAGGAAAAGGGGAAAGAATAATAAATCTTGCTCTCAAAGTCCACCTCCTTAATTTGGGTTGATTCGTTGTCTATTCATGTATTCCACAGATGCAGGGTCCATCAAGTTGATTGTGGAGCTTTAATCTGCTGCTTCTGAGGCTGCTGGGGGAGATTTCCCTTTCTCTTCTTTGTTCTCACAGCTCCCAGGGCTCAGCTTTGGATTTGGCCCCGCCTGTGCGTGTAGGTCGCCGGAGCGCGTCTGTTCTTTGCTCAGACAGGACCGGGTTAAAGGAGCCGCTGATTCGGAGGCTCTGGCTCACTCAGGCCGGGGGTAGGGAGGGCCACGGAGTGCAGGGCGGGCCTGCGGCGGCAGAGGCTGGCGTGACGTTGCACCAGCCTGAGGCGCGCCGTGCGTTCTCCCGGGGGAGTTGTCCCAGGATCCCAGGACCCTGGCAGTGGCGGGCTGCACAGGCTCCCCGGAAGGGGGTGTGGATAGTGACCTGTGTTTGCACACAGGCTTCTTGGTGGCGGCAGCAGCAGCCTTAGCGTCTCATGCCCGTCTCTGGGGTCCGCGCTTTTAGCCGCGGCTCACGCCCGTCTCTGGAGCTCCTTTAAGCAGCGCTCTTAATCCCCTCTCCTCGCACACAAGGAAATAAAGAGGGAAGAAAAAGTCTCTTGCCTCTTCGGCAGCTCCAGACTTTTCCCCAGACTCCCTCCTGGCCAGCCGTGGCGCACTAACCCCCTGCAGGCTGTGTTCACGCTGCCAACCCCAGTCCTCTCCCTGCGCTCCGACCGAAGCCCCGGCCGCTCCGGCGCGGGGAGCAGACAAGCCTCTCGGGCTGGTGAGTGCCGGTCGGCGCCGATCCTCTGTGCGGGAATCTCTCCGCTTTGCCCTCCGCACCCCTGTTGCTGCGCTCTCCCCCGCGGCTCCGAAGCTCCCCGCTCCGCCTCCCGCAGTCTCTGCCCGCGAAGGGGCTTCCTAGTGTGTGGAGACCTTCCCTCCTTCACAGCTCCCTCCCACTGGTGCAGGTGCCGTCCCTATTCTGTTGTCTCTGTTTTTAATTAATGTTTTCTTTTGCCCTACCCAGATACGTGGGGAGTTTCTTGCCTTTTGGGAGGTCTGAGGTCTCCTGCCAGCGTTCAGTAGGTGTTCTGTAGGAGTTGTTCCACGTGTAGATGTATTTCTGGTGTATCTGTGGGGAGGAAGGAGATCTCCGCGTCTTACTCTTCCACCATCGTCCCGGAAGTCTTGGAAGTTCAGTATCGTTAAAAGAGGTGTATACTGATGCCAGGTTGGCAAAGAATAAAGTGTGGTGAATTTGCATGGCATTAGCTAAGCTGGACCTATATTTTCTTCCCTGCATAGGTCTTAGTTAACATGGGCCACAAGAGACATTTTTTGGTAGATTTGGAAGGTCAAAGAGAAGCAGGAGTTATATTCTTTTTATGCCTAGATGGTCAGTGTGGTGGCTTTAGGAGCTGCTCCAGCTCACATACATGGTAGTTGATTGATTTTGTTGGCGTGGCCAGTAGTCAGGCACACAGGTTCTGGAGCTCCTGCTGGATCTCCAACTTCAACTTCTTCTGTTTCCGGACTAGGCTCAGGAGCAGAAACAGAAGCAACAGTCATGTGAACTGTTAAAACTCCCACAGTCACATAAAGTCAAATGCCTATAATTCACCCAGATTCTATACTTTTCCTAGTGGTTCTGTTTGTCTGGTGGAACCCTGACTGCCATAGTATATCATAAGAAGTCAGTAAAGCAGAGGAATTTTGAGTATTAGCCAAAGATTTGCTGGAAAAATGACATAGAATACCAGGTAGATAAGGAAGAGAGTGAAGACAGAGAAGATATGATGGATTGAAGAAAGTGCACTTTGAAATAAACTAGAGGTCACAATGAGGTAGGAAAAGAGCCATCATGGGAGCAGTCAGCATGCAAGTTGGTATCAGAATGGTTAGGGATAAGAATGCTTCCAGACTCATGGATTTACTGGCATGAAGAGTCCAAAATAGCTCAGTAAAGTATGAAAAAAAAGGTATTTGGAGAAGAGTTATAGATAGCTTGTGGATTGTGGATGATGTTGTATTATCTTTTGTTGACAACAGAATAAAATACCAATGGTCAAATTCAAACCAGTGCTTGGCACATAGTTGGCTTTCACTAAGTTATTTGTTCAGTGAATGGATGGACCCATATCTATTTGACTTTGAAAGAATCGACTGTGATCCAATTTACCTTGATATATAAGTTTAGGCCAAAAATACCATGATCATCAGGACCAATATTTCTGGCTCTCACCTCTTTTCTATCTAGCAGGTGTGGTGTAGTAATGTATATTGGCTGTAGGAAATTAGATTTGTCATTGAGTGTATGGGACCAAAGTCTTGAAAATCAAAAGAAATATTGATGCTCAAAAAATGGTATGCAAATAGGATAAGGTGTAGATTAAATAAGTGTAGCTATTTGAAGTGTTTTTCATTATATAGGTGGACAGTTTGGGGTATCTTCTTTTTACAGTTGGAAGCTGATTAACTTAATGATGAGGATGTAAATATCAATACACCTGTATTAATTGTATGACCTATGAGAACGGAGTTTGATGGAGCAGAATAGTACTTCTTGCAACAAATTGCAGGTGTTGGGGGCTTTGCTGCTTTTCCTGTCTCTGGCGATAAAAAGTTTACTTTTTCTATTGGAAGAAAAAGAGGACAAAAGGGCAAATGTGTCTATCATTCAGTGAAAGGAACAAATAAAATATTATGCTACATAGAGCTGCTATAACTGATTATAGTAACAAATTTTTAAAAAGTTATAAACTCAGAATAATTTTCTTTCTCCTCCTAGTTAGAGCTTACTGTGAAACATTGTTCCAAGCAAATAAGACAGTTTTGATCTAATGATCTACTTGCTATTTTCTTTTAATTTTTTTTTTTTTTTTTGGCCGTGTCTTTGCTTGCAGAATCTCAGTTCCCTGACCAGGGATTGAACCTGGACCACAGCAGTGAAAGGGCCAAGTCCTAACCACTAAACCACCAGGGAACTCCCTGTTTTCTTTGAATTTGAAGAAGGCAATTATACAATAGGCAACCCATTAGGAGTAATTAGACTGTACAGTGATATCCATAATTAACATATAACCTTTAAAAAGAATCTCTACAAACAGTCTTAGAAATTATGTCTATCATGGATATCTTTTACAATTTTAAAGACTTGGAGAATTTTTTTTTTTTTAACTTCTTCGTAAGTAGCTTCAAATGAAATAGACAAGTAGTTGTTAGACAGGAAGACTACAATGAGTTACAGACAGTGATCCATGTAATTTCATTTTAAGAATTGAGGACAAGGGAAAAACTCCACCATGTTTTAGGTCACACAAGAGTATATCTAAAAATATTTCAGCCTGGAATACAGACCAGGTACTCAGTTATCAAAAATCAAGTCCAAAGGTATCAGATTCTGTCCTTTTCTTCCCCATGGCAGGTTTTGAAGTTTTGATTAGACAACATTTTCCCCAAGTTGGCTTTGACTCCATGATAAAATGTGTTGGTAGCTAAGTGAATGTAAGATTGTTTCTTTGTATGTCTACTATGCTGTAATAATCAGAAACTCCAGGATGAAAAGGATAGAAATGGCCCAGAGAGTTTTCACAAATATAAAGTGCTCTCAGAATTTTCCATAGTAAGAAGGGAATGAAAGAATAGATAGAATAGATAGGGA